CGGCCACAACACCGAGTTATTCAACGGGACCAAGCCGAGGTTTGCCTGAACAGGATCATCACACAGCAAGCCCAGCACAGTGCTTCCTAACTAGTTCTACAGCTCTTCGGGCAGTGTCTCAGTTTTTGACTCAAGTTTCTTCATCTGAAAAAATGGGGAAAGTAGGACCAGACTGTCCACAAGTGAAATGAGTTAACAAATACAAAGTGCTTAGAGAAGAGCCTGCCACCTGCAAAGTCCTCAAGGTGAGTGAGCCCTTATGTGTGTCACTGCTGCTGCTGCTGCTGCTATTTACACAATGACATCTGCCAAACTGTTGCCAAAACTTGAGATGGGAGCTGGGGAGTAGCGCAGTGGCACAGCGCTTGCCCAGCACAAACACGCCCAGAGTTCGAGCCCTAGCGCTGCCTAAATAAATAAATACACTGGATGAAAGAGCAAATGAAGCAAAGAATCAAAGTTGTCAAAGAGGGCAATGGTGGAGGACATATAGTTGAAGGACGTGCTTTGGTATAAATATGATAGCAAATATTTTTTAAAATTATGCCTATCGGGGGCTGGAGAGATGGCTCAGTGGTCTAAAGCACCTACTTGAAACAAGCTTGGCAAAAGCACAGGGACCGCGGTTCGATCCCCCAGCACCACATGCCAGCCAGCCCCGCCCCCTGGTGGGCTGAGCTGGCCACACACACACACAATAAATGTAATAAATAAAAATAAATAAATAATTTAAAAAAAAAAATTATGCCTATCGGGCCGGGGAGATGGCTCAGTAGAATAAGCGCTTGCCTGGCAAGCACAAGGGCCTGAGTTCAATCCCCGGTTCCAAAAAAAAAAAAAAAGTAAAAAAAATAAAATAAAATTATGCCTATCAACATTTACAGGGGCCGGAAAGATAGCTCAGTAGAGGGGCCAGGGAGATAGCTCAGTAGAATAAGCACTTGCCTGGCAAGTGCAAGGGCCTGAGTTCAATCCCCAGTTCCACCAAAAAAATAAAAAGAAAAAAAGAAAAAACATTTACATACATAGGACCTGAAATACACACACACACACACACACACATCCACAAGATAGCTGTAAACGTATCAACTGAGTATTAAGTAATAAAAAGTACTACATTACAAAGGACAATGAAGTTCTACCTGGAATAAGTGCTTGCCTGGCAAGTGCAGGGTCCTGGGTCCAATCCCCAATACCGCCAAAAAATAAATAAATAAAATAAAGTTCTACCTGAAAATCATGGAAACTACAATGGCATGAGCAATTGCAAGGAAAGGAGTGAACTGGCTTTATCCCACCATAGTCATACCACAAAGTTTAAGGTCCTTGAGAGTAAAGAACTAAATATCCACTTGCAGTCTCAGCCATCTGGCAATAACTATAATAAAAGTAAACAAAATGAATCACTGGGCTGCTGACCAAAAAGCCCAACTCACAGAGAAGTCCAGGACACCGCTGTGACGCTTCCCTAGCAGTCACATCACACCTGTTTATCTTTCAGGATGTCTTTTGAAAAGTTCTTGAAGTAGCACTTCTATTTATTTTCTTTTATGAAGTCCAGAAGCTCACCACTATGTGTTCAAACAAAGCCTTCTTTCAAAGAGAACTGCATGAAGTAGGCATGACACACCTTTAGCATCAGAAGTTGTGAATTTTCACCTGTCCCTTTTCACGACCACAGAGCTATGTTCATTCCCGGGAAAGACCTGCTGTGACAAGCACCCCTGGAAACAGGTTTACAAACCTGGCAAGGGCCCACTGTTCTCCTTTACTCTGTACACAGGTCAAGAGCAGGACAGGAAAATGGGCTGGAAAACTTAGGCCTAGAGAACGCTGCTGACGGACTCTTCTTATGCACAAATTCCCTGTCCAAGTTCCAGGTGGGAAGGCAGGAGAAAAAAGGAAAACCACAGTGGTATCTGTTCTTCAAAAGGAAAAAACTATTTGGAGAGAAAAAAGGAAATCTGAGTTCATATCTGATCTCACAAAGGAAAACAGTGTCCTAAGCATCAGAAGCGGAACATAATAGGGTAAATTCTGGAAAAACATTCATCAGCACACAGCTGCTTAGGCTTATAAAAATCTAACCTCTACATCAGATTCACAATGAACAGATCTGATTTTGTCAAATGATGAAATTACATTTAACCACAGTTCCTCAGATCTTTATGCAGCTAAGTAACTCTAAATATTAAAAACTTAGAAAAATTTATTTGGGGCATGGAATTATAAAACATTCTGTAGTTCTTTCATATTAATGTATACAAAAAAATATTAGTTCCTGTTGAAGCCATATTGTATTCAAGCAGGCTTTAAAAAGACTAATGATAAAAATTACAGACTACAGTGTTAAGATCTAGAGAAGTACACAGGAAAATTTTTAACTAGTTCACCTTAAGAGGTTGTTAGAATTTATTGTTAAGCAATGGGTGCTATGGGCTGGGAATGTAGCTCAGGGAGAGAACATTTGCTTAGTGTGTTCTGTCCCCAGTACACAAAGCCAGGAGGGGAAATGGAGTCTGAGATAAAGAAAAGGAATGAATGACACAAAGAGGACAGCAAGTATGCCATCACTCGGGTCCCATCCACACCGAGGATGCAGGAAAAGACAGATTCACAGGCTCACACTGAAACCAGTGTTGATCGTTTGCAGTTGCTTCACCACGCCAACCTAGGTGCAGTCCTCACATCCCTTCCTCAAAGTGCACACTGACCGCCTCACTTTATACTCCAACCACAATACCAGCAAAATTAGAGAACACCACCTCACTTCTTAGAAGAGAACAAGCACTAACGTTTCATTATGACTAAGCCAAACAGACAAAATGCCAGCCTTTAAATAAAGCCTCCACCATGATATCACTTTTGAAGTTACTCAAGCTTGATCAGCGCACTGCCATTGGGCTCAGGCACAGTGCAACACAAAGCAGCATGTCTGTGTTGGCAGCACAGCTGCCCAGACCAGCAAGAGATTTATGAGCAAGGGATCCGTTGACAGTCTAATTTCAGCTACCTCCAGATTCCACAAAGATGACAACCTGCGTACTCAGAAATTCTGTTGCAGGCCTCTCAACCAAAAGAACCTTCCAGTTCACTTAATCTCTGCACGCTGAGCTTCTCTGCAAATCTGCCCATCCAACGCGATTCGATGTGATAACCGGAGGCCTCCATGCTGCCCAAGTGGCCTCACAGCAATGTCCGACCGCCTATGCGCAAGGAAGGCATCGGCAGGCCTTCCACCTCACTGGCCAGACCAGGTGGGGACAGAAACAATGAATACACAATTTCACCCCAACAAGAATGCAACCTCGACGGCGGCTCACTTGGGAAGCTCATTTTAGCAATTCCACCGGAGAGGAAAAAGTGATCGGGAGCTCCGGGCTGATTCTGCGTCTGGGGATGTTTTGTGTGGCATGAACAATGACTGGCTTGCTCGGGCGGCCTCCCAACCCCCACCACTTGGCTTCTGGTGCGGCCAGTCACCCTGTGAGCTGCCAGGGGCTGTCACTCGGTGCCTTCCAGCAATCGGACTTGGCTCCTAAAGGATTTGTCAGCTCATCCTCCCAATATGGCTGCCGCGATCCTGGGCGGCTCAACGCGGGCCACACCAGCTCCCTCGAAGCTGGCCACCGGCCAGCGACCCCCTCCCTGTCCTTGCCGTCGCGCCCTCTCGGCCGGTCCCTGCTCCCTCCTCGGTCCCCCAGGCACGAGAGGATGCCCTTTCCTGCTTGCGTCTGGCACCGGGGCGGAATCGCATTCCCACCTGAACCCCCACGCCAACATCATTGGGGGGCAAGATAAGAGACTAGGAGCGTAGCGGCGCTGACCCCCGAGCTGCGAAGCGCGCCGAGCCCGAGCCCGAGCCCGAGCCCCGAGCCCGAGGCCGGCAGCACCACGAGTCCCTCTGCACCTCTTGGCCTGCCTCTCGGGGGGGACGCGGAGACGGGACAGACGACGGGGTCTGGGCGGGTCCTGCGGGCCCCAAAAGACCGCCGGCCCGAGTCGCTGCTGGCCGGGGTCCCTTCCCCGCCCCCACTCCGAAGGCGAGGCTCCCCGCTGCCCCGCGCCCGCGACCCCGCCCGGGTCCGGCCCTCGTTCTTTCCTCGGAGCTGTCCCCGGTGGCAGTGACACCAACCGCCGCCCGCCCTGCCGCTTACCTCAGCCGCGATGCGGACCCCGGGCAGGCCGGCTGGCGGTCAGCAGGAGGCGCGGCGCGCGGGGGCGCGGGAGGCCGGGCACCGACGCACCTCAGCGCAAGACGCGGCCGCCGCCAGCCGCACAGCGCCGCTCCGCCGCGCCATCACGCAGCGACCCGGCTAGGCATCAAGAGCGGCAGCGGGAGGAAACTGACAGCAGCTGAAGCCCGCACGGACGCCTCCCCGGGGCCACCGCCGTCTGACTGCCCAGCGTCGCGGCTTGAGAAACTCCGCCCGCAGCCGCCGCCGACGGGCACCGCCCCGAGCTAGAGCGCTGCGCGTCACCTCCTCCCGCCCAGCAGCCCTGACTGACGCAGGAAGTGGCCAATCATAGAGCACATCTGTAGACGCTTGGCCAATTACAGGGGAGCCAGGGAGGGCGGGGATGCTGAAGGGGCTGAAGAGAGACCCGCGCGCCCCCTGGTGGTGAAGCAGCGGGCGCTGCGGGGGTGCGGAATGGGCGAAGGCGGCGTCCAGAGTTCCCTCCCTTGTGACCCCCTGAGGGCGTTGTGGGCTGCGTCCGCGCCTCGCAACCCGGCCATCCGCATTGCGAGGGGACAAAAGGTTGGCTGAGGGGCAGGATGGGACTGGACTGGCCAGAGCGGACGAGAGTGGGGCAGCAGGATTCCTAAGGGAGCGGCCGAGTGTGGAGTCATCGTGGGCTGGGAAAACATCGCAAGGGGAGCGGCGCGATCGGAACCGACACGCACGCAAGCGGCGGAGCGGAGCCCACGGAGAGCCCCTGGCTTATTCTTAACAGACCGCGCGCGCAACACCTCCCACACGCCACCTTGGGAGAAAAGACGGAATGAGTAATGGAAACGCATGACTTCGTAGGCATCAGCTCGAGAGCGCGTGCGGGCTGGCAGGAAAGGGACGGAACGCTTTGTGTCCCCAAGCGAGGGAACGGAGAGCCCCGCACCCGCAGGTCCCTTATCCATAGTCCGAGAGCGCAGAATCTACAGTCAGCTCCAGAGAAAAGCCACTGTTGTACTATTCATAAGCAGCTTAATTCAGCATTTCATAACACATCATACTCAGTGAGAAGATCTGCAACTGTCACGCATGTGCCAAGCACTTTATAGGGTTGTGAAATGTTTGGGGATTTACCAGTAGAAATGCAAGGTAAGGGGCTGAGGAGATGGCTCAGTGAAATAAGCGCTTCCCTGGCAAGTACAAGGGCCTGAGTTCAATCATCGGTTCCACAAAAAAAAAAAGCAAAGTAAAATCAGATTTTTTTTTGCGCCCCCCCCCCATTCACTACAATATTATTGGGCACAACAAGCCTGATTTGCAAGCATATCCACGTTGAAATGAAATTGTCTACACTAATGGCTCTAGAAAAACAGCTGCCGCCACTGAAGTCCTCAGACTCTGGTCAGTCAATATTTATTGGCCATTTCACATTTTAGTGGGAATTTATACTCTGCCAACTCACAAAAGGATTTGACATGGCTTATATCAAAGCAAGCACTTCCCAAAAATAGGAATGATTTTTTATTATTATTATTATTATTATTGGGCTGGGCTGGAGCTGTAGTTCAGGGGTAGAGTGCTTACCTACCAAGTTAGGCCCTAGGCTCCATCCCCAGCATCGCCAAAAAAAGCAAAGATAGGGAAAAGCTGATCAAGGGGTATGAGATAGGAACAAAAAATTCCAGGTAGGGTACTACTGGGGTCCTACTGATAACAAGAATGGTAAATGTTTGAAAATATATTTATTTATTTATTTATTTATCTTTGTGGTACTGGGGATTGAACTAAATGTAAGCATCTTTGCACTTGGGAGTCTGAAAACAGGAGGATCACTACAAGTCTGACTTGTGTAGTGAGACCCTGCGGTCCCTGTACTAAAATACATATGTAAAAAAATAAAATGAAAAATATATAAGTATCTTTAACCTGATTGAAATATTACATACTATATAATAAATTTTTAAAGAGCTAAGGAATAGGCCATGCACGGTGGGGCACACCTACACCTGTAATCCCAGCACTTTGGAGACTGAGGCAGGAGGATCGCTGCTAGTTTGAGGTTAGCCTGGATTATATAGTGAGTCCCAGACCAGCCTGAACTACAAAGTGAGACTCTATCTCAAGAAACAA